CCCCCTATAACCAACATGGTCCACAGTAATTCTACCCAGAGGCAACAACAACTGGACAAAATATATTTTCTCATGAGCTCCCTATCACTTCTGTACACCGCCTCCAGCGAATTGTTGATACCTCCACATTGTGAAATGGGCTTTATGCAATGAGGAGGTGTCAAAGAGAAGAGGAGGAGTCATCACTAACAACCCTAATCTTATCTAGGAGAGATTTCTGTGTCAGAAATCAGATAAAAATGTGATAACAATTGACACTTATTACCTAACTAAAGAATCCTCGGTCCGTGCTGCAACAACACCCTTTTCTGTTTGCTTAAGAAAAACACTTTTGTATCATATTGTGGTAGCCCTGTGTGTTTTCGGAAACAGAGTAAAGGCTAGAAAGTGAGTTTGAAAGCCAGGAGCATCATCATCTAGTGAAATAAGTGCTGATTCATTGGTATTGATCTGCTGTGTCTTTAAACCCTCCCAATATTAGGGTCGGTGCTATGGGCACATCAACATGTTATTTATTCCTTCTTTACAAGTAAATATAATGCCTCCAGGGGATGTGCCGCTAATATACAATTACTGACCAGTGTGTCCGCATTCAGAACTTGGATTTAGCTCGAGCTGCTTGCATCGTAAACTGTGTGTAAACTGTTTACATGATTGATGTGTTTGTCTTGCCGCTGTACTTTATAGATACATGGCATTAAAGCAGCGCTGAGGAGCAATGAGCAGCCGCAGCTGAAACCTTCATGAAATATTCACTTTATGGAGGCTTAGTGCTTAGCAGGCAGAATATTATAAAAGGCGGTGCGTTAGTCAGAATACAAGAGCAATAAGCACAATAAGTGCTACTTTGGAAACTGTGCTGCATGATATCATATATAAAAGAATGCGCTTTTTAATAGAATCAGGAGTTTTTTTAAATAGCAATCCGCTGCAGATAATCTCCATTATACATCATTTCATTTACATACTATATATAGTATATATTTCATGTCTACATTTCCGCTGCTTGGTACATCAAACATTCTAACTAATCCAGAACATTTTATATTGTGTATTCTTTGTGGCATATGTATTTTCTACTGTAGATATGTATACATTTGCTGTTGCCCGAACACATTGCTGCTGTGTGCTACAAAATAAATTCCAGATTTGGGATGAATAAAGTATCTATCAATCGATCCAATTCATCATATGCAGGAGTCCAATCATTACTTTGAGATGGATCACTGAGACAGTCACTCCGACTGAGTGACAGACGCGCTGCACCCCAGTAAACAACGATCACACTCTCTGCACACCGACAAACATACAAAGCACGTTTGCAATAATGACAATCATCATCCCATCTCACAAATGATTGGAGGCATCCATTTGGTCACTTCCTTAGCTGCTCAGGCATTGTTAAATACCTGGTTGCGCATCAATCACCTGACTACATTGTCAACATGTTCCCCACAGTAATGGCAAGTCAGGGGGAATTAGTCGGCGAAGGGATTGAGTTGTCAATCACATCAGGAAATCGCAAGTGTAGAATGTGTTGCTGCTCCGTTGCACTGGTTGATTCGGGATGGTTAGTGACAGCTTTTTTCGTAAACACTCGCAAATATGGAACTCAGTGGCTTAAAACAACATGAATGTTTGACAGAGTGGAAGTAAAGGAGTCGCTCAAAAGGAGACAAGATAGGATTTGAACGCTACTTTGGTTAGTATCAGAATCAAATACATGATGTTACCACGACAACAGTTGTGTGGGTATTTAATGTTTTCGGCACACATGACTCATTTTAGCTATTTACAGTCAGCCTACCTAGCATGTGGTCTTGACAAGCTGTGTCTGGAATACGTCCCTCTTCATTTCCAGCCCTCAGATTGATCTTCTGAGTCATTATAAGGGTCTAGAATATTAACAAAGAGAAAAAAACCCAGTTAAAATACACCATAATATACAATACATAAGTGTCCTTTAGAGATGATGTTACATTAAATAACATATATACATATATTAGGGCAATTTGCAGAAGAAAGGTTGACATTTACAGATTCATGTGTGAGCTTCTGGCTTTGTGAAATGTGTAAAAGTTTTTTTGTTGGCAATTATCATTATTTCCTGCCGTACTTTAATTGGGTTATTCAGAAAAATATGTGGTTTTAGGGTGGTGCAAGAGAAGGAGTATGTAGGTCATAAAGTGTCCCTCTTTTGTTGCATTTCTGTGGGGAGCAGATAGGCAGGAAGCTCGGAGGATGGTATTAAATGGCCCCTTTGTCAAATTGAGTGCCTGCGATAAGGCGCTCCTCCACGTTATCAAAAGTCCACATCAGCTGGATTACATTTCCTACATTATGCAGTGAGACTCTTTTTGTGTCATCCCCTCCCTCCATTCAGCTCTCCGTATACTCTCCTTTTTTAAAGCTCTCTCAAACACTCTTTGATTGACAGCTAATTCAGGATAAATAAATCCACAAGGTCATTCTATGTGTCGCCATTTGCTTACAAAGTGCACTGATATAATTTAAAGAAGTCTAATTCAACTAAAAGCTTGGCGCTCATGGCTGTCTCTGTGTGAGTTTAAAAACCTTCAGCCTTGTAGAAACAACAACAAAAACAACAACAACAACATGGTGCTGGGTGGATAAAAAAGAAGCGATAAATCGTAGGCTGAGTCAAAGGACAATGTGAATCAATAGGGACGCTTCGGGGGATGTATTGCTGTAGAGGCGGTGCTGCAGTGGGTGTGTTTGTGAACAAGTGTGGGAAAACCTGTGGGAATTTAATTGTATGTGGAAACAGTCAGAGACAAACAACGCAGACAGCCATATGTTAGAAAATGTCTACTATGGTGCCCACTTACAGCAGTATCTGGACAGATCTCCATATCTCCCTTCATTTCGCTGTATTTCTTGGGGGTGGAGATCCCAGGCGGCGATGCGGCCTCACAGCTGCCCTTCACAGCGGTCCTGTTCAAATGAGATTTGATCCGTTTTTATGTCTGCCTCCTCCTTTATCAACTCAGCAGGTAGAAAGTGAGCCAGCTGATAAATTGCATTGACCTGCTCTTTCCCTGCACTGATGCAAAGAAATGTTTAACGGCCTCTATGAAGTGCTCCCAGTTACTGTGGATATAAATCTGTCAGCTGTGATTTGAAGTGCTAAATCAATGTAGGGAATATGAAATGTGGAGCTTTACCTTGCTGACTATGTGTCTTGGATGCTGCTCCAAGAATTACTTATGCTCACTGGAGTGGAGTCATAACTCAAGCCGACACCCGCTGTTTATTTATCAGCTTCTCTGAACACACAGGTTTTAAAGCAGCTCATGTTTAATTTAATAGAACAACCAATTTGTTATGTCGATTCACACTGTGTGACCGGGAGTAATCAGCGTAGCGCCCGATCAATTAAGTGTAATTCATTCGGAATGGTCTTGAGCTGTAGTTTCACCCACCTGCCGAGAAGCTCCTTCACAAACTGGTCTTTGCCGATGAACGCGGTGGTGCACTGGATCTGAGAGGCGATCTGACCCATCTGGTTGTTGCAGTGGTCCATGATGGAGCTCAGCTTGTTGTTCACATCAGACTGGTTCTCCCCCTCCTGACCGTCTCTCTGCTGGTTATCGATTTTCTTCTTATCCTTCTTCTGTTTGCCTCCGAGCACCGATCCGATCTTCGACTCCTTCTTCTCTTCCTTACCCTTGGGGGAGTCCGCTTTCTTCCCACTCAGAGCGGGAAGTTTGCTCTTACGGAGGCCGAACCAGTTTGCCAGAGAAGGGCCCGTCTTCTGTTTGGTCTCGCTGGCAGTGACCTTTTCCTGTTCTTGACATTTCTGCAGGTTCTCCTCGATTCCCATCATGACCTTCTCTTCGATCGTACAGGCTGTTGGGCTGATTTTCTCCTCCGTATCTGGAGAGTCTGTCTGAGTTTTGACATCCCTGCTAAAGTCCGGGTCATCAGGGGAAGTTGCTATTGGAGGCTGGGGATGAACTTTGGCTGGCTTACGGATGTTTAAACCAACCCTTTCACTGATGGGTAAGCTACGCGCCTCTTTTTGAGAAGGTGAAGTGATCGCCTCCACCTGTGACCCGTCACCTGATTTGGAAGTTTTCTCAGGAAGGACGCTCTGACTATTTGACGACGTCATGCCTCCGTAGTGGCTGAGCCTGGATCTTGGGGAGTGGACGGGGCTCTCCGGTACCTCCAAGGAACTCTGCCGCGACAAAGAGTTCCCCCTTTCCCCAGAGTTGGTGATTATCTGAGTTCTGGTTTTTCCTGGCCCATCTACAACATTGATGTTGGGTTTCTCGATGTAGTTGGTGCTAAAGCTCTGGCTCCGGGCTTTGGCCCCATTCATCCCCAATGCCGGCTTTAAATGAGGCTTTGTAGAGATAGATATGGATCTGGAGAAAAGTTGACTACTCCTTTTCCCTTTCTCACAAAGCTCTCCCTCCTCTGGTAACACAGCATGAACATCGTCCTCCAGTAATCTACACTGGACCTCACCTTTCACTTCTGTAACGGACATCTTGGGGGGGGAATCAATACTGTACACTGGCTGCGAGCTGTCACACTGGGTAGAGGCATTTGTAGTCACAGTTTCCTTGGAGACTGAGTTGATATGATCTTTTGCTTGCTTGCCTGGTATCGAGGGACTATTTTTATGGCTAGGGGGAGATTTTATGAATGCTTTAAAACCCATCGGGATGCGAGTCTTTGAGGCTTTTTCTGGTGTGTTGGGGGAAAGCATGGCCGAACTGGGGGGGCTGACAACAGCTTTGCCATTTTGGGGTTCTGTTTTAGCTTGGGGTGTGTCCTGAAGCGATAGGGGTAAACTAATAGACGTCTTCTGCACTGTCTGATGGACACCTTCATGGGTTGATAATCTTTTATTTGCAAAGGAGTTCTGAAGTGAGGACCCTCGGAGGGCACTGTAAGGGGGAGGGACATTCTTTGAGCTTTTAGTTGCATTTTCAGTTTCTGGATCACACCCTGAGTTTGCAGGAGGGATGCAGTCTTTCGCGGTCATCCTCTTGGAAGTGCCTTTAGTAGGCGTCTGAGTGGTGGCGGGGGACTTTTGAAGGTGCTGACTGGTTTTCTCGACCAGTTTCTGAGGTGCAAGTGCAGTCCCGTAGCCTGCATCCAAGTCTAAACAGTCTTTATCCTTGATGGGTAGCGTCGATTGCATATTTGGTAGAATTGAGGTGTGGTAACTTGGGGGAGGGCCCCTCACAGTGGTTGTTTGAGCCAGCCAAGTCTTTTGTGCTTGAGGCGACCCTTCATAATTTGGTCTCACCAGTAAGGAGGTGGTGCGGCCCGGGGGCGGGGGAGGAGAAGGGGACCTGAGTTTATTTTTGCTGGTTTCACAGTGTTTGTCTCTGGTGGGCTGCTCGCCATTGTCAACATAATCCAGGTGCCTCCTTGAGAGGTGAGGGGAACTGGAGGACGAGGGGCCCTTACTCAATTCGGCCCTGCCTTGGAGCTTGGAGTTCACTGCCTTTGGGCTCTGTGAGCAGGTTCCTTGTGTCTTGATAAACCTTGACAATTTAACCGCAGGAGAAGAGGGGGATTTCTCCTGACCTGAGGGTCCTGAGTTACTTGTGTCAGTGGAAGAGCCCTTAAACAATCTCATTGGAGAGGTTAAAGGCTTGTTCCGCCCGGGAATCTTTGACCCACTCGACCTGGAAGCAGCAGATCGTTCATGGGGGGCATTGAAGGGCCTCTATTAGGTCGGCTGCTCGGCGGTTTGATTAGTTTCCTTTGTGGAGTCATGTGTATCGACTCCCTCTCTGCACTGCCCTCCCTGCTGTTGCTAGTATTTTGAGACCTAATTTGATATTCAGATGGCTTCTCTGGAGATTCAAGAACACTGTAGTTTCTTGCATTGGCAGATTTTTGCCTTGTCGGTCTCTCCCGCGGCACTACTTCTGCGTAATCGGGGACTATTTTGCTACTTTGAATGCCGTTTCGTGGCCCCGAACAAGCAGTGAGACTCTGAGAAGAAAGTTCAATAGGCTCTCCTTCTGCATCGAATATTGACAAGAGGCTCTCCTCAGACTGAGTACACATGGATCCTTTGGGCTCCTTCAATAGGCTGAAAGGCCTGGGCCTCCCGTCTGCTGATTGGGTGCGTCCCTGCTCTCTTCGGAGGCACTGTTGCGAGATCATCTTGGCAGCGTCTCTTGACTCCCTCTTTGAGTCCGTCTCTGCTCGCTCTGGTGTCTGGCTAAAGGACATTCGGATGTCACTAGACTCCGAGCTGAGTTCCTCTGGATCATCCACATCAGAGAGGGGGATGGGACCCTGAGGGTTAGGGGGCTTGAAGTGCAGCAAGGATGGTTTTTTAAAAGCTGAGGGGCGTCCCTCAGGAAGAAAACTGTTAATGAAACTCATGAGTTTCTCGGGACGTTCTTTTGAATCACAGCCAGAAAGGTGTTTTGTAGCCAAGAGACCTGAGCTACCATCGCCCCCACCTCCACCCCCACTGTCCTGAAGCCCCTCCCAGCTACACAAACTGTCCGATATGCTGCGGGAGAGCTTCTTACAATAAAACCAGTTGTCCTTAGTGGGGATGTTATCTCCTCGACAAGAATTTGCCAATTCGTCATCAGCGTCATCAGAATCAAAAGAGAAATTCTTGCCTACAAAGGCTGAAGTTCTACCCACATGGGTGGGATTGGACACCCCCTTATTTCCACCCAAGACACCCAGGGAGTAGATGCCCTCGTTGGAGTTCATGCAGTCTTTGTCTCCTGACTTGGAGACCCTGGCTGAGGCGGAGGAGCTCCGGTGCTTCCTCCTCTGGAGCTTTTTCAATCCCTGAAGTATGTTGCTCTCCTTGCGCCTGGTGGGCTCCTCCGGGGGGGTGCAGATATTACTCGGAGCTGACGAACCCAAACTCAGCCTCTTCTCCCAGGTCAGCGATGACTAGAAGCAAAAAAAGTGGATCAAAATTGTGTTGTAATCAGCAAAACTTGATATCTTGCCAAGTATATTGGTCTAATTTCTAGTGAGAATATGTCTCACCACTTGATATAAGACATAATAAATGAAGCAGGGTATATGCAGGAATCCTGAAGTCAAATGTAATACCTTTTAAGACCTTTTTTAAGACCCTTTCCATACATTTTAAGACCTCATCACAACTTTGAGTTCTAACCGGTTACATTGGCAACACACTTTAACTCACATTTACTATATTGATTTTAAGATAGCAAAACTAAACAGAGTGCAGACAGACTACTGAAGCCTCCCTTCCACATGAACTTCAACCTCTCTGTGAAGGTCAGGTTTAATGCAGTATGCTGCTTTTTTGCTTCTGTAGACTCTGTGCTCTTTCATTCCAGTAAAACTCCTCAGAAACCATTAGAAACCAGTATTTGACCAATAAACAAAACAATTGACAAAACTTTGAACTATGAAATATGTTAAACTTTGGCGAGCTTCAGCGGGGTAATGCCATATAGGAGCTCCCTCACAAATACCTAGGGGTTAAATTGGGCTGTGGCTGTTGAAAGCAATTCTAGAACCCTGAAGGCAGGAGAGACTGAAAAGAGTCAAGGGAAGCTTATAAAAGTTAACAGCATTTAATTACACAAAAGATGCGGTGGTGTACAAAATGAAATGTGCGAGTGGAGGCGCTCTCCACATCCGACCGGTCAGTTCAGGTCAGGGGGTCGAAGAGATCAATTATTGGCTTGCTCTTCCTGTTGTCATCTGAGGTCTTCTCCTATTGGCCGGCGTTGTCGGGGGGCGGGTCCAATGCAATTCCTGCCTTTTTCTGTAGCTAAATTGCATCATTCTGGCGTCTGTGGTTATTTAAACATTCCCTGCTACACATTATTCAGCGTCAATAAATGAGTGCTAATCCCAGTGTGCTCAGTGTACAACATCACATGTCATTTCACCTTGGTTGAAGGTTTGAAATCGTATGATTCCGCCAGATGCTAAATGCTAACCGGAAGTGACGAATTTTCAGAATAAAAATGTTAAGCTAATAGTGAGAACTTCCGGTTTTTCAGAATAAAACTGATTTAAATCAAATAGTGTATTTAATTCAAATTACGCCATATCAACATTGATTTTAANTGAGCTGAGGTTATTTGAGCTCTCAGGAGAGAGCTCTCTTCCACCTGGTTGTAGAAAAGCTCTTTAAATTCGTTAGCATAGCTAGCTAACCAGATGCTAATAACAACAGATCGCCACTGTGCTTACAACTAAAGACACAGCCACGCAAACACTGCGGCATGTGTACGGCTCCTTATGGGTACTGCAATATTTGAAGAGCTGGAACGCGTTCCGGTGCTCTCCGTAAGCACTCTAGTCTAGTCCAGGGGTTCCCAAACTTTTCCATGCCAAGGCCCCCCAAAAATCATTAGCTTCTGGCCGGTGACCCCCTTTGCAAACCCACCAACAATGCTACAAAATATGTCACACATCAACTTTAAGAACGTTTTTGTTACTTTTATTCTCTATTCAATACTGTNCACCCTTTAATTTACTGAAACGACATGTCGGGAAACCCCACAAGGCGGCCGCAACGAAACTTAAAATAATAAGCAGCATTTTACGGCGCGCTACGCATGGGGCCGCCTTGTGGGGTTTCCCGACATGTCGTTTCAGTAAATTAAAGGGTGTTTCATGTTGCCGTTGCTGTGAACCTTCTTAATACCTTGGAAAATGCCGTTTAATACTTTTTAATAGCCTTAATTTTCGCTAAATTTATTTATTAACTTTTAATACTTTTTAAGACCCCGCGGACACCCTGTGAAGAAGTAACAATGCAGTGAGATTTGTTTTAGACAATGCATCTTAAGTATCTTGTTATGTCAGAGACTCTTGGAAACATCTTATACTGAGTTGTATCTCAGATGAATTTTTTTTAAGCTGCTGTGGTACTTGTGAAAGATGGATTAATCTTGTTTCAAGAAATACATCTTTCTTGATTCAAGAAAAACACATTTTTATTGGAAAATCACCAGAAAAGAGAAACCTTTTGAGTATTCTGGCTCATTTTGTAATACAACATTCTCTTATTCTGGTGAAACATAGCTCAAACAAGCTAATTACAAGACCTGATTCATCTGAATATAGCATCATATTTCAAGGGATCTTACCATGCAAGTTTTCACTTGTTCTATTGGCAGATTTTTTGACTTATTACAAACAAAAACACCTTGTTTTTATAATTCTTTTACTTGATTTTGGAGCCGCATTTTTTCCATTGTACTCCTACAGTAAGATAAATAGTGAGTGACAGGATTTACCATTTTCCCACAGGAGCGTCCATCATTCCAGGTGTAGGAGCCGCTGGAGAATTCACTGCAGGCACTCGATAGGGACAACTCACTGCTGCTGCAGCTGCTGCGGGGGTACACAGGGGGGGCTGTGAGGGACAGCTGGCTCAGACACTTGGCCAAAGGGAGACCTGACTTTCCATTCCACTGGAGCTCCTAGAAGACAGAGAAACATCATTATAGTGTTTATAACTTGTATAGCATCATCTTTTTATTTGCATTTTAAGAAGATATTCACAAAGCATACATAAAATCACACACATCTAGGTACATAATAAAATAATAACATTACAAATAAAAGAATGGATACATTATTAATACTCAGGTATACATTATATACTTGACCCATTTTTCCCACCTTTCCTCAAAGATATGCATTTGGTTTCTAATTCGCATAGTTCACATTTTGAGTTTACTAAGTTATTATCTTTTAGCCAATTCCTTGTAATTAGTTTAATGATCGCTATTCTTATCACAATAAATAGGTAGGAATCTTTATTTTGTATCTCCTCTGGTGTTTTCCCCAGTAATGTGATGATGGATTCTTATTGAGAGAAATGCCACTTTTATTGGACATTTCTCTAAAAACTGTTTCCCATAAGTCTTATTTGATACGCTTCATTCCATAAACATGAATATCTGATGTCTAAGACATCGGGTAGTGTTGCATATCTAATTGCCATCTTGCTGTTAATTTAGATATGAAACATATTTACCAGCACTTGACAGACCCGTCAAATACTCTTTGAAAGTTTCATTAAATTCTAAAGTACTTGGCTTTCCAGACTTCATTTAAAAATATCAATCATATTCCCATGTTCAGTCATCACAGCAGATGTTCCTCGATCAGCATTCACTGCAAATACATTATTTTATTCTTGTATGCAAGATTAGAAATAAGATATTTTTCTGGTCTCATATAAATGTCACTTGTGCGTATCACTTCACATAATGTCTTAAGGAGATACTTTGCACATTTGGATTACAGGATTTATTATAATTTGCATAGCAGCCGTTATAATATTCATTTTTTGCCGTAGAGTTTATCAGGTGGCATTCTCGGAGGAGCAAAAGGCTAAAAGGAAGGAGCAAACTCATTTTCAGGCTTTAATGCATAATATATAAGATGACTAATGTACTACAGTGTCCTATGGAGTCATTTTTACTGACGGAGGGGCTCAATCGATGGTTTTCTGGTAATATGACAAGGATTTATTCCTCTTAGCGCCAAATGATACTGCCAGAGAGCAGAGGAGGGGTCACGGCTTCAGATAGTTAGGTCTGTATTTTAATATCTCCTAACGATTTCTTGAGTAGGTTTGTGGTTACCTGGATAATTCATATGGCTACAAAAAATG